CTAACCCCTAACCCCTAAACCCTAAACCCTAAACCCTAAACCCGAAACCCGAAACCCTAAACAAACGACATGACGTCCTGCTCATCGCGAAAAGAATCGACCGCTTGCGGCCGGCTGCGCTCCGGCAGAACCTGAGACGTGCTTGCAGCCATCCTACTCGGAGGTTCATGGGTACGTATAACCACAAGGGTTTAGGGTTTAGGGTTTAGGGTTTAGGGTTTCGGGTTTGGGGTTTAGGGTTTAGGGTTTAGGGTTTAGGGATGATAAATCTGCTTATAACCTACTTAGGGTGCTCATAAGTACAGTTAGAATTGGATCGTCTTGGGGCCCGGGGTTTAAGGGTTTAGCGCCTTGGGGCCAAGGGTTTAGGGATTTAGGGTTGGGGGTTTAGGGTTTACTAAACCCTAAACCCTAAACCCTAAACCCTAAACCACCAAAACCACACCAGGCTCCAGCAGCCAAGGCACAGCAGGATGCGGGCTGCCGCCACTCGCCGCGGCGGCTTCTTTGCCCGGAGAGGCCTCGCAATGAAGGGTTTAGGGTCTAGGGTTTAGGCTTTAGGCTTTAGGCTTTAGGCGTTAAGGCTTAAGGCTTAAGGCTTAAGGCTTTAGGCTTTAGGCTTTAGGCTTTAGGCTTTAGGCTTTAGGCTTTAGGCTTTAGGCTTTAGGCTTTAGGCTTTAGGCTTTAGGCTTAGGCTTTAGGCTTTAGGCTTTAGGCTTTAGGCTTTGGGCTTTAGGGCTTTGGGTTTGGGGTTTAGGGCCTAGGGTTTAGGGCTCAGGGTTGTGGAGGTTTTGGGGGATTTGTCCCTCATTGAAGCGGAGACCCCATGCAGCAGCACCCCAAAACCACCCCCAAACGTTGAAATCTATACTCTCAAATCCAGTATAAGGAACTGAAACCTACACTCCAAACCACAAACCCTGAACCCGAACCCTGAACTCTAAACCCTAAACCTCTAGACCCTCTGAACCAAAAATACACCCTAAATCCTGAACCCGAAACCCAGCACTCGGTGGGGACCCTATAAACCCTAAACCCTACACATAATAAACCCTAAACCCTACACCCTATAAACCCTAAACCCTACACCCTATAAGCCCTAAACCGTGAACCCTAAACCCCAAACCCCAAACCCTAGACCCTAAACCCTAAACCCTAAACCCCAAACCCTAAACCCTAAACCCTAACCCTAAACCCCATAAACCCTCTCCACCTGGACATGGGTTGCTCCGGGGCAGGCTCTGACCTAAGGCACCACGATTCAAGGGATGGGGTTTGTAGGGTTTAGGGTTTAGGGTTCAGGGTTTAGGGTTTAGGGTTTAGGGTTTAGAGTAGGGTGCAGGCTTCTGGGTATACGGTATAGACTTTAGGGCTTTTGTTGGGAGTGTAGGGCTTCGGGCTCAGGCGCGAATTGGGGCTTAAGCTTGAGCTCGGGGTATAACTCGGGTTTGGTGACACTAGAAGTGTCCGCCATAGAAACCAGCAACACTACCAGCTGCCCTCCCTGCCCAGGACATCATGGGTCACTCACTTCTTCGGGAGGGCCCCCCCGCCGTCCATTGGAGCCGGAGGGGGCGAGTAAGGTGTTTTTCCACGCCCTTTGCCCTTGTTCTCAAGCATCTTGCGCTTCTCCTTCTGCGCCTGACTCTCTTCACGCATGCGTCGTGCCACATGCTCCGCGAGGCTCGGGACCACGCCCCTCTGGGTCAATACGTCTTGCCCTAAACCCTAAACCCCAAACCCTAAACCCCTAAAATCTGACGCTTCATACGAAAGGCGCACCTCCACGGTTTGGGCCTCTGCCAACAGCTGCTTCCTCCCGCACCAAGAGCTCGCTAGGTTGACGACGTTCAGGGCATCATAGCGCGCAGCGTAGTCGATGGCCCCCCACATGCTAAATCTCACGAGCAAACCCTAAATCCTAAAACCTAAACCCTCAAACCTGTCTGCATCCTCGTCAGAGATTCCGGTACGCCTTTTAGGGTTTGCGAATTCGACACTTCCTCATTCGTGCTTAGGGTTTAGAGGCCGCGTAGCTTTACTTAAGCTAGAACCCTTAACCCTAAACCCTAGACCCTAAGCCCGAACGCCTAAACTCGTCAAGGCAACTTCCTGAAAGCTCCTTCGTAGTAAACCATAAACCAGTGAACCCCTAAACCCCTAAAACCCCAAGACCCCTAAAACCCCGAAAACCCCTAAAACCCCCAAAACCCCTAAAACCCCAAAAACCCCTAAAACCCCGAAACCCCTAAACCCCTAAAACCTCCTAAAACCCCTTAGGTACCCCTAAACCCCAAATCCTAAACCCTAAATCCTAAACCCTAAATCCTAAACCCCAATTTCGTGACGCCCCAGGACGCCTGGGAGCAGGAGCTGCAGCGGAATTCAGGTCCACGCCTGGAGAGCTGGAAAGGTTTTGGCTGCAGAGGAGAAAATTCAGGGGGGGTTCAGGGTTTCAGGAGTTTAGGGTTTAGGGTCTTATAGGGTTTCAGGAGTTTAGGGTTTAGGTTTTTGTAGTAGGGTTTCAGGAGTTTAGGGTTTGGGGCTTGATAAGTTAAAATTGCTTCAGGAGTTTAGGGTTTAGGTTTTTTAGGTTTGAGGATTTAGGAGTTTGGGGTGTTGGGTTTGGGGTCTGAGGGATTAGGGGTTTAGGGACGTAGCTCTGGGTCCCCCAGTTTGGGGCACCCAGGCGATCACTTCGAAGTTGTTTGTGGTTTTAGGGAGAATTCTTGAGACCCTAAACCCCAAAGAATATGCGGGGGGAGTTTCCAATGTCACCTTAAACCCTAAGCCCTAAACCCTAAACCCTAAACCCTAAACCCGAAGCACTACCGCGACCCCCGATGGGAACTCTGGAGCCACGTGAGTTCTGAGCCTCCAGGTCGGCAGTTCTCTTTGACTTCGGAGGGGTTCATTTGGGTTACCTCAACAGGGTGTAGGGTTTAGGGTTTAGGGGTTTAGGGGTTTAGGGGTTTAGGGGTTTAGGGGTTTAGGGGTTTAGGGGTTTAGGGGTTTAGGGGTTTAGGGGTTTAGGGGTTTAGGGGTTTAGGGGTTTAGGGGTTTAGGGGTTTAGGGGTTTAGGGGTTTAGGTGTTTAGGGGTTTAGGGGTTTAGGGGTTTAGGGGTTTAGGGGTTTAGGGGTTTAGGGGTTTAGGGGTTTAGGGGTTTAGGGGTTTAGGGGTTTAGGGGTGTAGAGTCATGCACTCTGACACCTGGATGCCAAGCCCCCTGCAAAGAAGCGTCATGTTGTCACACCCGAGGCCATTCGTCCTGCCGGCCGACACGTGGGGTAGGGTCTGTGCTTGTACGGCTAAGGTCTTAGGGATTTGTGGGTTTCGGTTTGCTGTTGTTGCTTTTGCTCCTTTCTTTTTTGGGGTTTTTCTTGGGGGGCAACATTTCAGACTGCGCCCTCAAGGCCTCCAGCCAGAAGACTGGACCTTCAACGGTTGCTGGCGAGTGGTGGGATGCTCAAGATCTTATCGGCTCGGTGTTAGAACCTTGTGGAATGCCTGAACTGGACCTCAAAATCCTACACTCAACTTTCTGAGCCCTAAAGCCCTAAACGCTTAACAACTCCCGACCAGCCCAAACGCCCTAAGGCCCAAAGCACCCAACCCCAGTGCCATTGGCCTTGGCTTCTGCGGGGTGGGAGGCGCAAGTTTATAAGGTCTACAAGGTTTGGGTTTCAAGATGTCGGCTTGGGCTACAAAGGTTTGGAGCCTTATAAGCTTGAGCATTCAAGTCGGGCTCGATGAACGCGCCGTCCTCATCGGATTTTTCGACAAGTTGCCTCAGCCAGCTCGGCGGTCGGTCAAGCTGCTACACGTCGTCCCCAAGTTTAATTGCGGCAGGGCGACCAAACCCCATAACCCCGAAGCCCAGAGACCCGAAAACGCCAAAATATGGCCGGGCGAAGGCCCCACAGCCAAAACCCTACACCTTAAACCCTTGAATAGCTGTAGTTGGTTCGGGCCCCCCATACCACATTAGATGCTTAAGAGGGGTTGCGTGTATTCCTGCCGGACGTCTGTAACATCTAGACTCTTTGACTACTTGGAGCTTCAGAGTACTTACAACCCCAATCAGAACTGTACTTATGAGCCCCCTAAGTCCCCTAAGTAGCTTATAAGCAGATGTATAATCCCTAAACCCTAAACCCTAAACCCTAAACCCTTGTGGTTATAACTACCCATGAACCTCCAAGTAAATGAAAAGCGCAAGCTTGCCAACCGAAGCGTGCTGAAGCAGGAAATCAGGACTTGCCATCGCTGTAGTTTAGGGTTTAGGGTTTAGGGTTTAGGGTTTAGGGGTTTAGGGGATTAGGGTTTCGGGTTTAGGGTTTCGGGTTTGGGGTTCAGGGTTCAGGGTTTAGGGTTTAGGGCAATTCGTCGTCTGGAGTGATTGGTGGATTGGTGGAATGTGGTGGATTTGGGTTTGTCGAGACAGCGCGGCCCTGCATTTTGTGCTCCTGGATGGGTTTAGGGTTTAGGGTTTAGGGTTTAGGGTTTAGGGTTTAGGGTTTAGGGTTTAGGGTTTAGGGTTTAGGGTTTAGGGTCTAGGGTCTAGGGTTTAGGTTTAGGGTTTAGGGTTTAGGGTTTAGGGTTTAGGGTTTAGGGTTTAGGGTCTAGGGTATAGGGTTTAGGGTTTAGGGTTTAGGGTTTCGGGTTTGGGGTTCAGGGTTCAGGGTTTAGGGTTTAGGGCAATTCGTCGTCTGGAGTGATTAGTGGATTGGTGGAATGTGGTGGATTTGGGTTTGTCGAGACAGCGCAGCCCTGCATTTTGTGCTCCTGGATAGGGTTTAGGGTTTAGGGTTTAGGGTTTAGGGTTTAGGGTTTAGGGTTTAGGGTTTAGGGTTTAGGGTTTAGGGTTTAGGGTTTAGGGTTTAGGGTTTAGGGTTTAGGGTTTAGGGTTTAGGGTTTAGGGTTTAGGGTTTAGGGTTTAGGGTTTAGGGTTTAGGGTTTAGGGTTTAGGGTTTAGGGTTTAGGGTTTAGGGTTTAGGGTTTAGGGTTTAGGGTTTAGGGCTTGCGCTCCGTTCTGACTGTTCGCTGCCAAGCAGCTGTCAAGAAACTCGGCGCACGCCTGGGAGATGGAACGCGAAGATGGGAGCCTCTGCATCATGTCAATGAGGCCTACACGCCTTAGGGCTTTGGGTTTCGGACTTGAACCCTAACCCTGGCCCTAAACCCTCGATCCCTTAACCAAATAAGAGGGTTCAGGGATCCCAAACCCTAAGCCCTAAACCCTAAACTCTAAAACGCTAAATCCTAAATCCTTAACCCTAAACCCTAAACCCTAAACCGTAAACCCGAAACCCTAAACCCCAACGACCCAAACTCCTCAACAGACGTGGCCCGGCTCTCCCTCTCTCTGGGCCTTTTCAGCAGGAAGTCCGCCACCTGCTGGTTCGTAAACCGCTCCCAAACGCCGTCGCAGCCCAGCAGCAAGTAGCCTCTGCCCACCCCAAACCCTAAACCCTAAACCCTAAACCCAAACCCTAAACCCTAAACCCTTAACCCTTAAACCCTAAACCCTAAAAACCGGAACTCGAAAACCCGAAGCCCCAAGCCCCCTCAAAGCCCTTAAGGCAGAACACCCCAAAACCCTAAAGCCCCCGAAAGCCACCTAGCCCTTAAACCCTGAGACCCTAAAACCTTAAACCCTAAATCCTTGAACCCGGAAACCCTAAACCCCTCAAACCCTAAACCCTGCAACCCTTGAACCCGAACCAAATCCTAAAACCCGAAACCCTTGAACCCTAAATACCCTAATCCCCTCAAACCCTTGAACCTAAAGCCTCAACCCTAAACCCTAAATACCTAATCCTGAAACCCTTGAACCCTTCAACACTAAACCGAGTTCGGCGGGAGACTTGGGGGTACGGGCCTAGAGGTTGCAGGATCCTAGGCTTTGGGGTTCTTGGGGTTCTTGGGGTTCTTGGGGTTCTTGGGGTTCTTGGGGTTCTTGGGGTTCTTGGGGTTCAGGGTTCAGGGTTCTTGGGGTTCAGGGTTCAGGGTTTAGGGTTTAGGGTTTAGGGTTCAGGGTTTAGGGCTTAGGGTTTAGGGTTTAGGGTTTAGGGTATATTAGGGTATGTCAGGGTATATTAGGGTATATTCGGGTATATTAGGGTATATTTGGGTAAATTTGGGTATATTAGGGTATGTCAGGGTATGTTAGGGTATATTAGGGTATATTAGGGTATATTAGGTTAGAGTAGATTTGGGTATATTAGGGTATATTAGGGTATATTAGGGTATATTAGGGTATATTAGGGTATATTAGGGTATATTAGGGTATATTAGGGTATATTAGGGTATATTACGGTTTAGGGTTTAGGCTTTGGGATGCAGAATCGTTTCAGCTTGGGGCTTCGTCGCCGTCCTGTGGCCTCCGTCTGTCTGCACCCGAGGCGCGATCGCGCTCGATGAGCTGGCGACACCGGACCTGGCCGAAGGCTATGAGGGTTTAGGGTTGAGGGTTTAGGGTTGAGGGTTCTAGGGTTTTAGGGTTTTAGGGTTTTAGGGTTTTAGGGTTTTTGGGTTTTAGGGTTTTCGGGTTTTTGGGTTTTAGGGCTTTAGGGTTTAGGGCTTACTGCTTTGCCCCAGTGAGGACTGCAGAAGGCAGAAGAAACAACATCGAGGGCCTCTCTCGCCACTTGCTGATTTTTATAAGGTCCTTCAGGGCGTGGGTTTCATGGGGGGTAGGTACCTAGGGAACCTTAGGGAACCTTAGGGAGCCTTGGGCAGGAGTGGTTGGGGATGAGCCCCCCTCCTTTCAGAACCCTACAATGATAGGACGGGCCCCGGAGGAGCCACGGGAATTCGAAAAGCAAACTCCTTCTTTTGGCTGAGTCCCCCCCCCCCCCCCCAAAAAAAAAAAAAAAAAAAAAAAAAAAAAACATAATAACAATAATAATAATGATATAACGATAATAATAATAATCATAATCATAATAACTACTCTCACCTATCCGTCCCCCCCGTCAGGTCAGGGGCCTCAGGAAGTGGCGAGATCAGCTGCGCCTCGGGCGCCAGCCTCCGGTTCCTGCGGCAAGCAATCTGAGCCCCAAAGTCCCAGGGTTTAGGGTTTAGGGTTTAGGGTTTAGGGTTTAGGGTTTAGGGTTTAGGGTTTAGGGTTTAGGGTTTAGGGTTTAGGGTTTAGGGTTTAGGGTTTAGGGTCCCATGAACCCTAGTGCCCTCAGTCCTAAGACCCTAAAACCCTAGACCCATGGAACCTCGAATCCTGTACCCTAAACCCGAATACAACCCAAAAGCCTCTCAACCCCAGAACCCTCCCTAAACCCTAAACCCTAAACCCTAAACCCTAAACCCCAGAACCCTCAAGCCACCAAAAACCCTTGAATGACCGGCCCCTGAACTCCACACGTCCGCTACAAGAGGGTGTTAAATTTTTAAGTTTAGGGCTTCCATCCCAGACCTTGCAAAAAAAAAGGCTTCAGGGATTCCCTACACCCCAAAGCCCTGCTGCATCCTGAAACTCTAAGAGCCCCTAAAGTCCTCAAGGGGCCTGACGCCTCCCCACACGTACTAAAGCCCTGCTTGTCCAGTACTTAGGGGGACTAAAGGGTTAGCCTTTGGGATTATAAGGGAAAAACACGACCTTCAAAATAGAAAAAAGGTTGCCGGCTCTACAACTAAGAAGCTGTCAAGGAGGGCTTAGAGGCATGCTTCTTGGGCCCCCGTCTTCTTGTAGAAGAAGTCCCCAAGGGCTCTGGACCTGGGCGCTGCAACATGCCCGTCATACTGCTTTCATGAAATCAAGGAGAACTACCCGGCAACCAAGCTCTCAACCCTAAACCCTAAACCCTAAACCCTAAACCCTAAAACCCTAAACCCTAAACCCTAAACCCCCCCAAAACAAGAAGAAGCCCTGAGGTTTTGAACCTGTGCGCCTCGTTGAAGGCTTAGGGTTTGGGGCCTCTGGGTCTGAGGTAAGGCCCTCATATCCCAATGAGGGTCTTGGACTCAGGGCTTTCGGGTTTTAGGGTTGAAGGTACTAGGGTTTAGGGTTTAAGGTCTTAGGGTTTAAGGTTCAAGGGTTTAAGGGTTTAAGGTTTTTTGAGGTTTTAGGGCTTTAGGGCTTGGGGGTTTTAGGGCCTTAGGGTTTTAGAGATAGGGATGAGGGTCCCGGGCTTTGGGCTGCAGGGCTTTCGGCCCTAAACCCCAAACCCTAAACCCTGAACCCTAAACCCTAAACCCTAAACCCGGAAGCCTCTGAAGGTTTCAGGGCTGAGCGAGGCATCAAAGAACCTGGGGCGCCTCGCAGGTTGAGGTCCCCGTTGATCCGGCCTTCCCTGGCAGGTTTAGGGTTAAGGGTTTAGGGTTGTTTAGGGTTGCTTAGGGTTTTGGGTTTTGGGTTTTGAGTTTTGGGTTTGGGTTTTGGGTTTTGGGTTCTGGGTTTTGGGTTTTGGGTTTGGGGTTTTGGGTTTTGGGTTTTGGGTTTTGGGTTTGGGTTTTGGGTTGTGGGTTTTGGGTTTTGGGTTTGGGTTTTGGTGTTGGGTCTTTGTTGGGTGGGGGGGATTAACGGGTTTAGGGTTTCGGGCTTGTGGTTTCAAGGGCTTAGGGGTTCAGGGGTTTATGCTTGCGGCCTGTGGGGTTTAGGGTTCAGGGTTTTGGTGTTGCCTCGGATTGGTGCGATGGAAGGATCTTGAAGGAGTTTGAAGGGGCTTAAAGAGGTTGAAGGGGTTTGAAGGTTTCGGTTCAGGGTTGTGGGAGTTGCTGTTGGACTGGAAAGTTGAGATGGTTTGGGGTTAGGGTGCTTAAGTTTCGGGGCTTAGGGTTCAGGATTTATAAGGGTTTAGAATTCAGGGTTTGGGGTTTAGGATTAATGTTTAGGATTCGCGGTTTAGGGTCGGGGTTGAGGGCTTAGGGCTTAGGGCTTAAGGTTTAGGTTAGGGTTTAGGGTTTAGGCCTTAGGGTTTAGGGTGAAGAGAAGTTCAACTCAGGCCACTCTGAACCACGGCTGCTACAACAAACGTGCGGCAGGATCCCCGCCTGTTCACTTTTCCGCCAGCTCGCCTGGTCGCCAGTCATAGAGGGGCTTCCGGTTGAGAGTAAGTAACCCTAAACCCTAAACTCTCAACCCCAGACCCAAAAACCCCAGGATGAAGGTATTTAAAAGGCCCGCCAGAAACCTCGCGCAGGCCCTGCGCTAACCCTACTGCTAGACAAACCCCCCACTTTCTCCAACAACCCATACTACAGCCACAAAGTAACGTAATTCTGCCTGAAAAATGAGGAATCAGGCCTTATAGTAGGGAAACCAGAGGGAAAATTGGGTTTGGGGGGTTTCTATCGTATCGCTACAGAGGGGCCATTAATTCAAACAAAAACTCCATGAACAAAAATTCCGACCCTGAACCCTAAACCCTAAACACCAAACCCTAAACCCTAAACCCGAAACCCTAAACCCTAAACCCTAAACCCCAAACTATACTGGCCATGAAGGCAGCCAGGTGGCAGGATGCGCTTCCACTCCTCGGGATCACCGGGCGAGTGGTCTCGAGACCTTGGCAACTTCCAGTGGGCGGTTTAGGGTTTAGGGTTTAGGGTTTAGGGTTTAGGGTTTAGGGCTTAGGGTTTAGGGTTTAGGGATTAGAGTTTAGGGTTAGGGTTTAGGGTTTTAGGGTTTTAGGGTTTTTAGGGTTTTAGGGTGTTAGGGTGTTAGGGTTTTAGGGTTTTAGGGTTTTAGGGTTTTAGGGTTTTAGGGTTTTAGGGTTTTAGGGTTGAGGGGTTTAGGGTACTGTAGCCTTTTCCCGAAACAAAGACTCAACCCAAGAAGCTCCGGAAACGTTGGTAGTTTAGGGTTAGTTTAGAGTTTGAGGACAATGCGTCACCTGGGGTCCCCCTACTCCACACCCAAATCCAAGGGCTTAGGTCTCAGTTTTCGGGGTACTTATTGTACAAGCATATTCCCAAATGTTTGGAAGCCCCTCAGTTGCAGAACTGCCGGAAAAAACTACAAAAAAGAACGCTGGGGTTGGCCTTCAAACCCTCTTAAACATATGTTGAGAAAAAGGCCCTCTTCAACCCAATAGAGTGTTTAAGGTTGAGGGCTTAGGGTGAAACATCAAGGCCTCCCTGCAACCCCGAAACTTAAACCCTGCGCCTTAAACCCTAAACCCTAAACCCCAAACCCTAAACCCTAAACCCTAAACCCTAAACCCTCAACCCTAAACCCTAAACCCTGCGCCCACTGCTTTTTTTGGCTCCGTGATGGCCGCATCGCTCCGCAAGCCTCGACAGGAGGGTGTACGGGCTGCGCTCTCCCCTTTGGGTTTAGGGCTTAGGGTGCATTGTTTGTGTTAGGGTTTGGGGTTTAGGGTTTAGGGTTTAGGGTTTAGGGTTTAGGGTTTAGGGTTTAGGGTTTAGGGTTTAGGGTGCATTGTTTTTGTTAGGGTTTGGGGTTTAGCGTTTGGGGTTTAGGGTTTAGGGTTTAGGGTTTAGGGTTTAGGGTTTAGGGTTTATTGCTTATTCAGGTCCTAGGACTTACGCACACTTCCAAAGTTATAGTCCCTCCTCGGCTCTGCCCCGGGAGGTCGTCGCTCGGCAAGCGCAGGTGGCGCAGCCTCCCGGTGTGAGGAGTGACGTTCGTATCTTAGTAGGGTTTAGGGTTTAGGGTTTAGGGTTTAGGGTTTAGGGTTTAGGGTTTAGGGTTTAGGGTTTAGGGAACCATCTTATAACAAGGGCACCCTTTTTTGGGTTTGGTTTTTTTATGAGGGAACCAAATAACCAAAAAAAAGGGTAAAGGGTACCGCTGGGTTACCAAGGTATGGAATGAGGGAATGAGGTATCTCCAAAAAAAGGACCCTTTTCTTAAGGGATTATATAAGCCTCAAAGAAATGTCCCACACACCTGAACGTAGGATGCTCCCCCTTATACTCACAGTCCCCCTTACAGCCGAACCCTAAACCAAAGCAAACTGTAGCCCTGGTTTTTGTACCCTAGGGCTTAAGCTTTCTTTCAGATGGGACTGATGCTGCACGATACTGCTCTTTGTTCGGATGCCCCATATGTAGTGGAGATCCAGATTTCGTAGCCCTAAAACCCTAAACCCTGAAACCCTGAAACCCTAAGCCCTCAACCCTAAGCCCTAAACCTAAGCCCTGGACCCCTTCTCCTGAACCCTCAACGCCCTTAACCCTGGAACCCTAAGCCCCTTCCAGAAGCGCAGCTGCGTGGCAGCGTGGGGAGCAGATCCAGCGCGGCTGGGGGCGGAGTCAGCTCTCCTGGCCTGGTGCCGGGCAAATTGCGGGCACCAGCTTTCCCAAACCCGAAACCCTAAAACCCCTGAACCCTAAACCCCCAAACCCCAGACCTTAAACCTTAAACCCTAAACCCTAAACCCCCTAAACCCTAAACCCAATATTGATGCTCGCTGGGATATACGGGCTCTTCGACGGATCTGCCGATGAGAACTTCTTACAAAACCCGGCAAAAGGTATCCAAATGTCGGGAGTTGACACAGGGCCTCACGGCGGATCCGGCGAGGATGAGGAACCTCGGCCACAGAAGGGGTGCACGATTAGCTGCCAGGTCAACAAGTCTTCTTCGCATCTTCTCAACATGTGTGGTGAACTGTTTCAAAACCGGGCCCTGGGCCCCTACTTATCCAAACCCTGTCTAGTAGCAATCCATCAGAAGGCACCACCCAGGAACGACTCTAACGTAACCCCAAACCCTGAACCCTTGAAACAACCTCGGTGAAAAGCCTGCCGACAGGGCCAGGACACCGTGTGCTGTGAGTCGCCAGGTCTTGCAAACCGTGGACACCCTCAAATCCAGCCTGACACGGCGTTCTTTGCGTGGGGCTTAGGGCTTAAGGGATCAGGGTTTGGGGTTTATAGGGCTCAGGGTCTAGAGCTTCTCGGGTTTCGGGCTGAGTCGCTGCGGGCAGAGGAGTCTGGCTCCGGAGCATCGCGGAGTGTGGGGTCTAGGGTTGAGGGCTGATCGAAAAAAGCAAAACTCTTGGCCCCCAACCCTGAGCCCTGAACCCCCCGGGCAGCGCGGAGCCTGAGAGACGCCTTGATGGAGACAGCCGCAATCGACGAAGGAGGACCAGAGCTCCCTGGGCATGTCCTTCGCGGCACCTGCGGGCTTCCCAAATCAAATCAACCTGCCCATGCTAATATTGTGGCCTTAATAATTCGAATAGGGTTTTTGTCTCTTTTGTGTGTGTGTTTTCTTTTTTTTTTTTTTTTTTTTTTTTTTTTTTTTTTTTTGGGGGGGGGGGGGGGGGGGGGGGGGGGGGGGGTGGGGGGGGGGGGGGGGGGGGGGGGGGGGGGGGGGGGGGGGGGGGGGTGGTATTACAGTTAGGGAATGTTTTTAGTAATTATTCCAACCCCCACATGTGGTACCTTTGCTGATTTTGGTCCATTCTCAACAGAATGGTCCTTTTTTTGGTGCCCGAAATATTGGGGGCCCGCTTTATCATAGTGAACCCAGAAAGGACCATCATGTAGAGAAGTGACATATGGGTTTGGGGGTAGGATGTTGGGTTCAGGGTCAAGGGTTCAGGTGTCTATGTTTCGGGGTTTAAGTGTGTAGGGTCTCTCCCTCAGTTCCCGTCAGGAGAGCTTAAAGAGTACCTTCATGGGAGTATTTAGGGTTTAGGGTTTAGGCTGTAGGAGGGTTTGGGGTTTAGGGTTTGGGGTTTGGGGTTTGGGGTTTGGGGTTTAGGAAGTCAGTTGGGGACTCCGGGGGCTTTGGGCTTCGGGAGCTTTCGCACGACATTGCGCGCTGGCGCGCCTCCACCATGGTCAGTAGTTACGGCCAGGAGCCAGTCCTGGCAGGCAACAACGAACGTTTAGGGTTTAGGGTTTGGGGTTTAGGATTTAGGGTTTAGGGTTTAGGGTTCAGGGTGTAGTGGTTTAGGGTTTAGGGTTTAGGGTTTAGGGTTTAGGGTTTAGGGTTTAGGGTTTAGGGTTTAGGGTTTAGGGTTTAGGGTTTAGGGTTTAGGGTGTAGTGGTTTAGGGTTTAGGGTTTAGGGTTTAGGGTTTAGGTCTCCTAATATCCCCAACTTCTCCCAGAGCCCCAAAGCCGCCTAGTGCCGGTCCTCCGCCTTGTGCCCCTGTCGGGCAGCCAGAGCCGCACGGAGGCGGCCTCCAAGCAAAGCCCAAAGCATTGGTTTTAGGGTTTAGGGTTTTAGGAGTTCAGGATTTAAGGTTTAGGAGTTCAGGGTTTAAGGTTTAGGAGTTCAGGGTTTAGGGTTTAGGGTTTCGGAGTTTAGGGTTCAGGGTTTAGGGTTGAGGAGTTCAGGATGAAGCGATTAGGAGTTTAGGGCTTAGGGCTTAGGGTTTAGGGCTTAGGCTTTGGGCTTTCAGGTTCGGGCTTAGGGCGTTGGGCTTTGGGGTTTAGGGTTTAGGGTTTAGGGTTTAGGGTTTAGGGTTTAGGGTTTAGGGTTTAGGGTTTAGGGTTTAGGGTTTAGGGTTTAGGGTTTAGGGTTTAGGGTTTAGGGTTTAGGGTTTAGGGGCTTACCCAGCCTAGGCAAGCATCGACGTGCTCGATGGCCTCCAGATACTGCGGCACCTGAAAGAAGGACGATTTTTTGGTAGGGCGCAGGTTCTAGGATTTGGGGTTTTGGGATTTAGGGTTTAGGGTTTAGGGTTTAGGGTTTGGGGTTTGGGGTTTGGGGTTTGGGGTTTGGGGTTTGGGGTTTGGGGTTTGGGGTTTGGGGTTTGGGGTTTGGGGTTTGGGGTTTAGGATTTAGGGTTTGGGGTTTGGGGTCTGTCCAGAGGAAGTGGTCAATTCTCTAGATTAAGTTCCCTTTTCGGGTACCCTTAAAGGGATTTCGAGGTGCCGCAGAAGCGCATCCAATGAAAAGCCGTGCATGTGGCCAGCCAGGTCCACCGTATGAGTATACAGCGCCAAGACCTTGCAGCAGGGCTTTAAAACTTCTACAGAAACCAGTCGTATCCCGAAGGGACACCCAAGACACGCACTCACCAGTATTTATGTAAGAAACCCTGTATACACTCGCCGAAGACCATAAAGAGAACCCTACCTCGCATGCCACGAAGACCGAAGATTCTTCAGCTCCGTAGCAGCATGAGAATCCCGACAATGCGAAACAGTCAGGTCAGCTTCAGGCGCGAGAGGGGAAAAGGGTTAGGGTTTAGGGTTTAGGGTTTAGGGTTTAGGGTTTAGGGTTTAGGGTTTAGGGTTTAGGGTTTAGGGTTTAGGGTTTAGGGTTTAGGGTTTAGGGTTTAGGGTCTAGGGTCTAGGGTCTAGGGTTTAGGGTTTAGGGTTTAGGGTTTAGGGTTTAGGGTTTAGGGTTTAGAGTCTAGGGTCTAGGGTTTAGGGTTGAAATCTCCAGTCCATAAGCACGGCAGAACTTACCTAGCACGCAGAACCGATTGATGCAGGACGAGGGTCCGCCGGCGCATCCGCAGCAAGGTCCTCTGCAGCCGAGACGTTGCGCAGCCGACCCGAACGCGGAAGTCCTCAACCCCAAGCCCTCAGCAACTACACACTCCATCCCAACCCCGACGCTCCCTGGCCCCCACCAAACACTGCGTGCAGCCTCAAGTGTGGACACGATGTCTGCGACCGCCACTGACAGCTCGCTCGCCTGCAACTTTGTCAGACTTGCGAGGGTTTAGGGTTTAGGGTTTGGGGCTTAGGGCTTCCGGCTTAGGGTTAAGGGTTTAGGGTTAAGGGTGTGGTGCCAGGGGGTTCGCACCCAAGCTGCTGAGGGCTTTGAGGGGGTTGAGAAGTGTCAAGCTCTTGAGGCTTTTGGGGTTTCTTGGGGTCCAGTTTTAGGATGGTGGGGTCGTGTCGGTTCTTGAAGCTTCTGAGTTGAGGTTTATAGGGTTTGGGGCAGATTCAGCAAGGGCTTCTGTTTGCTCAGCTCAAGCTTTGGGGGGTATAACCCCAACCCAAATCTCCCTGATAAGGGTCTGGCTCTTCGGATTTTTTGAGGCACGAAAACATTGGGATAACCAAAAAATTTGGGAAAGAATCGTGCAGGCAAAGTCATAAGGTCTTATGCCTTACACGGACACGCCTGCAGACCGGAGGTCTCTACCACTTTCCAAAGCCAATGCCCGAACCGCATGGCTGAAGCCCCGACAAAGCGCCAAATCCTAAGTTCGCGAGTCCTGCACCCCGCCCTACACAAGCCCAGCGCGGGTGAAGAAACCCGTGTAAGGCAACCCTAAATCCTAAACCCTAAACCCTAAACCCTAAAGCCCCAGAGGCCACCAGAGCACTCTTGCGGGCCTCGTCACGGTAGAGCTGGACCTACTTGGAGGCCCAAGGGTACGTGCAAGTAGGCTTAGAAGTACCCGAAATAAACTTCGAGCCATAATTATCCTACCTATAGCCCGACTTATACGTACCGCAAGTAGGGTTAGAAGTACCCTAAATAAACTTCGAACCATAATTGTCCTACTTATAGCCATACTTGTACGTACCCATGAACCCCCATCAAGTACTTGGGCTGCTTCGCCTGCTGGCAGATTGTACACAGAAGCTGCATAGACACGCAAACAGCAGACCCTCCACCCCCTGAATGCCCCTGAATGCCCCTAAACCCTAAACCCTAAACCCTAAACCCTAAACCCTAAACCCGAAACCCGAAACCCTAAACCCGAAACCCTAAACCCTAAACCCTCACCCGCCTTGAGGCGTCCACCCAGCAGACTCAACCTGTCCTGGTCTGCTCCGCAGAGTTTGGCGACGCCGGCCTAGGCTTCAGAGTCCGGGGTCCAGGGTTTAGGTTTAGGGTTGAGGGTCGAGGGTTTAGGGGTATTTCAAGGTATTTCCCTAAAGGGGTGGGGGGGGGTACGCCTTTTGAACCCAAAATAGAGCAGAATGCCCATAGAGGGGACCCCCCAAAACGGGCCCCCTATCTTCGGACACGCCCATATGGGAACCAGCAGGTTTCCGGAAAAAACACAACACACCTGGATGTGTTGGGGCAGAAGACAACACTGGTCTGAGAAGTGGGGGCTGGATGGGTTCCGGGTATGGCCCTCGTGGGCATGATGGTCCCTTGCAGATTTTGAGGGCTTGAGATTCTGGGTTTAGGGCTTAGGGTTCAGGGTTGAGGGTTTAGGGTTGAGGGTTTAGGGTTGAGGGTTTAGGGTTTAGGGCCAGGGCTTCGAGATCTGGATGCCACAAACCCGGACAGGCCCCAAACAACCTCCGAAATTGGTCCACGGAGGCGCCCAGCCGACATTCAGAAGGCGGCATTGTCCCCCATGCTCAGCAACCCGGTGGAACCTGAAAGCATGTGCGAAGCCCTCCCCGAAGGGTCTTCACCCTGGCCAGCGGTTTAGGGGTAGTAGGGTTCAAGGTTTAGGGGTTAGGGATCTCAGGGCATTCGAAAGATGGCAGGGCACCTATAACCCCAATTATAACTGTACTTCGAAGCGCCCGAAGTCCGCTAAGTAGGCTATAAGTAAACTTATGATTGGGGTTATAAGTACTCATGAACCTCCAAGTATGGTTTAGGGATTTCGCGGCATGCGAAAGACCCTAAGCCTTAAACCCTCAACCCTCAACCCTCAACCCTCAACCCTCAACCCTCAACCCTAAACCCTAAACCCTACACCCTAAACCCTAAACTCTAAACCCTAAACCCTAACCCTAAACCCTAAGAGGGCCAGCCCTCAAAGTGAGCTGTGCCTCGCAGCCGAGGCGCAGCGTGGGCGGCAGCGCCTTGGGTCCGGCAACCCGGCGGCGCTTGGCCTCCGCGACATTTCCCCGCAACCCCCCCCCCTGTCATCCCCGACCACCAAGCCCAAAAACCCCAACCCCCCCCCCCCCCCCGAAAAAAAAAAATAAAACAAAAACTCAAAATCAATGAATTTACATCATCATAGTAGTAATAACAAATAACAAACGAACCCCAAGCCCTAGACCTCAACCAAAAAATCTCAAGCCTCGCTGAAGGCCGACACGAAGCAGGCAGAGGCCCGCGGGGAACGGCAGAAGCAGGGGGCCGCGTTCCTCAGTCAGCTCGAGGGATTTAGGGTTTAGGGTTTAGGGTTTAGGGTTTAGGGTTTAGGGTTTAGGGTTTAGGGTTTAGGGTTTAGGGTTTAGGGTTTAGGGTTTAGGGTTTAGGGTTTAGGGTTTAGGGTGGGGGCTGACTTCTGTGGTAGCTTGTCTGAAGGTTCCTCTTGAGGGGTCATAGGAGGTCCCTGCCTGAAATCTATGGCACCAACGGAAAAATTATAGGGTTCTCAAGGGAGGGGGGTTCAAGGGGGCTATGTAACCCAAGGTGCCCTAATACTCCCCACTACTCACCTACCCCCCATGAACCCCCTCCTCCCTTCAGAGCCCTATAATATACTGAGTTGCTGAGTTCAGAAGCCCCAAAAAAGTTTACACTTTCAGTTCTATAGGGGATTAGAGTATCCCAAAAAGAGTAAAGTGTACTCATTCAGCTACTAAACATACCTGAAAAAGGGGCCTGTATGATACAACAGCATGTGCACTTCCCCTCTTCTGATGATGGCGCGAAACCGTCAGCAAGCAGCTGCAAACGGGTGTGCCCATGTGTACTGACAATCGTGACACAGGCAGACAGAGAAAACTATATATACATATAATTCTATACCCCACAAGAAAACTAAAGTTCTGAGAACTGCCCTAGCACCTAACACCTAAACCCTAAACCCTAACCCCCATTGTTGACTTGTTCAGCGCATGGGGTGGCGAGGGCACCCTAAACCCTAAATACAAGACGTCCGGGTTCTTTGAGGGCAGGCTAACCTTCAGAACCCTGAACACCCTGCAAAAGACCTGTTGACCGGATGGTTGCTGATGGGGTTCTTAAGGGAGTGGGTTTCAAGGGGGGTAGGTACCTAGGGAACCTTAGGGAAGCTTAGGGAGCCTTGGGGAGTAGTAGGGAGTATTAGGGAATCTTGGCTTACATACCCCCCTTGAACCCCCCCTCCCTTAAGAACCCTATAACTCCGGCCACGCTTCACGAAAACTTGCCCCTGCGCATCTGTAACGAGGAGGGAGTCCTGAATTTGGGTTGCGGGCTTGGTTCAAGGGTACATGTAAGTACGGTTTGAGAAGTACCCGGAATAAGCCTTTGACCACATAGTTACCCTACTTATAACCCTGCATAAGTGTGCGGGAAGCTCGTACGGCAGCTGAACGTCAGTAAATCTTGCTTACGACAATGTCCGTGCAAACGCAAGAGCGTGCAAGCGGCATCAGAACTTCTGGAAGCTCAGACATCTTCTCGACATATACTATCATACCGATATCGATAAACAAAAATAAATATACATATAAATATTAATATTAATATTAATATTAAAAATAATATGAATATTAATATTAATATTAATATTAATATTAATATTAATATTAATGTTAATGTTAATGTTAATGTTAATGTTAATGTGAATATTAATATAATCATAAACATCAATAGAAATATCAATATATAAATATAAATATAGATAAAAATATAAATATAAATACAAATCTACAAATATATATATAACTATAAAAAAAATATAGATATATAAATATAACTAAAACAAAATAAAATAAGTATATGTATGTGTGTATATATATATATATACTACACACATATATATATTTACTTATATAATGGTGTGGCGGGCCCCTGTTTTCCCCAGGTGTGGCGGGGCCTTTTTGTTTGCCTAGGTGTGGCGGGACCCTTTCTTTCGTGTGGCGAAGCCCTTCTTCCTCCTAGTGTGGCGGGTTCCGTTTGTTTCCGAGGTGACGGGGCCCTTTTTCCCAGGTGTGGCGGGACCCTTCCTTGTTTGGCCCCCGCCTTTTCCGCTCAGCCTTGTCATCGGACCCAAACTTAATATTCACAGCACTTTTAGTGCTTCATTGACCAGGTCTTCTAGCTAACTCATCATCATCTGTCGCTGTCCCCCTCTGCATATGGTAACCTAACCATAGCTGAACCCTAATCCCCCTAAACCCTAAACCCTCAACCCTAAACCCTAAACTCGAATCCCCCCGGCACGTGCCAGGCCACCAGGTCGTTGCTCGCGACGCGGTGCTCGCTTGCCGGCTGCCCGGTGAGCAGCGTGGCCCAGGAAGGTGCCGAGATGGGCACCGGGTCTGGCGCGGTTGGGGTTTAGGGTTTAGGGTTTAGGGTTTAGGGTTTAGGGTTTAGGGTTTAGGGTTTAGGGTTTAGGGTTTAGGGTTTAGGGTTTAGGGTTTAGGGTTTAGGGTTTAGGGTCTAGGGTTTAGGGTTTAGGGTTCAGGTGCCAGTGGTTTAGGGGGGGATTTGGGGTTCAGGGTTTAGTGGTTTAAGGGGGGTTTCGGGTTCAGGCTCTAGTGGTTTAGGCGGGGGAGGGGGGTGGGGTTCGAGGTTTAGGGCTTCGTGGCTTCGGGTGCCCTGTGAGCATGGCTGTCAGTCTGAAAGGCGGGGACGGGCTGAGGGTCAGAAGGCTCAGAACTGAAGAGAGCTGGAGAAGGGTTCAGGGCTCCCAAGCACGATTGAGGCTCCAGGTATACCCTAAACCCTAACCCTACACCCAAAACCTAAACCCTAAAACCTCTAGGGGCAAGAAGGCACGCGTTTTCAAGTCCACAACTCAACTCGCCGTCTTGTCTTCTGAACTCTGCGCTCAGGACCAGTCCAGTAAGATAGGGGGCGTATTAATAATTTAGAATAGGGCTTTGGGGGGGCGTATTGTAATATAAATATAAAAGGACTGTAAGCGAATACGATTATCAATTATTCCGACCCCTATAGTAGGTGAACAGCTGTTCCACGCCTGTCTGGGAGTGAAGGGAGAAGGCGCATCGTTCGGCACCAGCCTGCGAAGTAAGCTGCGGCAACTCCCCTGCCCCTCATCTCGAAGCTGCCTGCACCCGGCCTCCCCTCCGAGCCCTGAGGCTCGAATCTTCGGGCAGCTACATGGCCCCTTGACATGGGCTCTGGATTGGGGGAACTCTGAAATACCCTTTATGTGCCCCATCCCCTGCTTCAGAACCCTTTAAGGAAGGCCAGGGTTCAGATTAAGCGACCATGCAATAGCTCCTTTGTCCACAACCGCACCTCTGGACAGGGGGCCTCTAAGCCCCCAAACCCCGTTTAGGGGAATCCCCAGGCTCTTCATTCCCTCCAAACCCTCAAACCCGTCAAAACCCCTTCAAAACCATTGGAGCTCGGTTTAAAACCCTTTGAACCAAACCCTTAAACCCTACCTTGGAGTAGACCCTGGAAACACATATATGCTTTTTTTAGCAAAAGTAGCTAGAATAGGAAGCCAGAACCAAAAAAATATGAAGGTATAGCACTCTACAGCCCAGCAAAGCCCAAACCCTAAACCCTAGACTCTAAACCCGAAACACCCAGCCACAGAACGAGGCGCCGCAAGCCTTCGCGCCCCGAAGCAGTGCCCGCGCGTTGGGCGCGTCTGCTGCCAACAAGGCCTTGGTTTAGGGTTTAGGGGTTAGGGCTTATGCTTCAGGGTTCAGGGTTCAGGGTTTAGGCTTTCGGCTTTAGGGTTGAAGGTAGAGGGTGCGAAGCCCTAACCTCCAACCCTAACTAGGCCTGCAGGGTTGTAGGAGCCTAGACAGGGGGCAACGCTTCTCGGAATGCCAAACACACCTGGAAGTTCAGGGTACTTAAAACCCACATTATAACTGTACTTATAGGCCCCCCAAGTCCCCTCAGTAGGTTATAAGTAGATTGATAATTATTGTGGTGATAAGTACCCATGAACCTCCAAGCACCTAAGCAGCCGCCACGCCGACAAGCCACATCTGGTCGGCAGCCATCAATCCTCGGCTGCGGGGAAGCTCACGTTGGTGGCGTGGGGGGGTTTAGGGGTTGGAGGGTTTAGGGTTTAGGGTTTAGGGTTTAGGGTTTAGGGTTTAGGGTTTAGGGTTTAGGGTTTAGGGTTTAGGGTTTAGGGTTTAGGGTTTAGGTTTTCGGGTTGGTCCCCCAACCGACTGCTACGCGTTGTGCGGAATGCACTCAGCTCTGTCCTGCAGCCAGACTTAGCTCTACAGTTGCATGTTCCGTCGTGTTTTTGTCTATGGCACTAAAGAAGCCCACAACTAAGATCCCTAAATCCTAAATCCTAAACCCTGAACCCTAAATCCCAAACGATTTGAAGCTGGAGGTGGGGACAAGATCACGGAAACCCTGAAGACAGAAAGCCCCGAGGTTCATCCCAGGACCCTAAAACCTACAAAGCCTGAGGTTGGTTCGTAGTAGGGCATAGGGGAATGAGATACCTCGTATAATCCCTGAAACAGTATATATAGGGCCCACATTCCCTCATTCCCTACTAAGAACCAGGGGGAGAACTTCAAAACCTTCGAATATCCCTTGAACCCTGCAGGGTTTAGGGAACAAACCAAAGACTCTTCTCTGACCCGAAACCCTAGACCCTAGACCCTAAACCCTGGGCCCTAGACCCTAGACCCTAGACCATAAACCCTAAATCCTAAACCCTAAACCCTTTCCGCCGGGCTGCAGCACCAAGAGCAGCTTTGGCGACCGATGAGGAGGCGGCGGCAGCTCTGCCGCCATAGGAACGTCGAGGCGCGCTATTAACGACACTGACTTAGGGTTTAGGGTTGAGGGTTGAGGGTTGAGGGTTGAGGGTTGAGGGTTGAGGGTTGAGGGTTGAGGGTTGAGGGTTGAGGGTTGAGGGTTGAGGGTTGAGGGTTGAGGGTTGAGGATTTAAGGTCTACGGTAGAGGGTTTAGGGTTTAGGGTTGAGGGTTTAGGGCTTTCGTGGCCCAGGGTCCAACACCTAAGCCCTAAACGTGAAACCTTAGAGTCATCTCAGAGGCTTTTGACGTGCAAACTACCCTCGGACCTGTCAAAGCTGCTGGCTCATTTGAAGCTACTTCCCCGATGTGCCACCGGCCTGACTGTTGCCACCTCTTGCGCGCAGGCTGCTCAATGTATAACGTAGTAACATAGTATCATAGTTTTTTGGCATATTGTACAGAACATACGGCATAAAGCGTCACTTGGACTCCTTCAGCAAGCGACAGACAGATACAACAAATAATATATAGTAGGAGCTATGTAAGATAAGAGCACTGGGGCCTTCCATTCTGCCAACGGGACCGCGCTGAGGCGTTGCAGTCTGCAATGCTGGATCAATTTCTGCAAGGACGTGCTTTGAAGCTGGGCCTCCACAATCCTCCACACGAGCCCAGACGGCGGGATCCTAAAAGAGACAGGAGGAGAGCACCGGGGAGGAGGGGTTGGGCTTTGATTTAAAAAAAGGAGCCAATTCTCCTTGCCCCTAAACTACAAGGAGTGTAATCACTCTCTTCCGCAGCGCACTGCAGCTTTTTGAGCCATATCCACTGCTTGCTTCAAGCGTCCCAGGCCATCGCGGAGTCTGAGCTTGCAGCTTGCATCCGAGACGGCGTCGCCTGCACCGGGAAGGCATCGGTGGAGCCAGTTCCCTAACTCCAGCAGGATCAGCACCAGGGTTCTTGATGGCCCAAGCTGCCGCTGCGTGCTTGTCAGCTTCACGTGGCAAGCCCGATGCGGCGGACCGCCGTGCGCATTGGACTCGCGCTGGAAGGAGCCGGGCGGGTCCAGTATCCATTGTAGATGCCTGCACAGCTTTCAGCGCCGCGAAACTTGCAGACCGTGCAAAGTCTCCGACGGGCCCTTGGACAGGCGAAACGTCTCAGAGAGTTCAACCCCTAATGTAGGTTTGGATTTGGGTTAGGAAAGGGGGCTCGGCACAAACCAGATAATATATAATAGAGACATATATTAAATATATATGTATATATATTATATATTATATATATATATATATAAATATATATATATATAGATACATATATATTACATATACCGTATATTACTACCCCCCCAAAGACTTACCGTTTACATTTGGCTGCAGATGAATATAATATGTTATATATGTATGTATATATATATACTATACATATATTACAGAATACATATACATATATAAATTATATACATTATAACAATATATAAATATATTACATATATACATAACATATATACATTATACATTATATACATATATACATAGATCAATATAATATATACATTATATACATATTAACCTATATAACATATATACAGATATACATATATTACATATATACAGATATACATATGACTATTATCACAGGAAATACATATATACATATATACAGATATACATATAGACCATATTTACATATATATATATATATATAATACATGTGTATTATAGATATGTATATGCATAGCTGTTTAACTGTAGTGTTCTTTTCTCAAATTATTAGACATTGGCAACATCAAGAGTACGTGGGTTTTCAAGTCACCGGGCACTGGGTCAAAGTCAACCCCGCCTTCGGAGTTAACTGCTGATCCCAGAACGCGCCAGCTATGATTTCTTACGGAGGGAGTGATAGCAGGGATCCGGATAAGAGAGCTGGACTAACTCGCAGGTCCAATTCAAACTCAAGTGTTTGGTAATACAGATTGCCTCGACTCGGCATGTACTGCAACAGATGGGTGTCGTTAGATGTGGGCGAGCACCGATGGCAGGTCTAAGGCGCCGGTTCGTGCATTACTTTGACGAGAATGCGGAAACCAAAATGCTGCAACACAGCTAAAGGCTAGATATATATATAATATATGTCTAAGACATACAATTACACAATGTATAACTCGACTTGAAAATCTTAAACATCCGGCTCAGCAATATGGAGCCTCGCTTCTTTTTCGTTGCGACCAACGGTCAGATAGCCAGAGCCAGAATCACAATCGCACCGGGGCCGCCTGGATTTGTCGCGACAAAAACAGCTAACAATTCCCCTTGGGGCAGGACACCCGAAGATCGGAAGGTAGGACTTTTCAACTAACGCACATGCGGTCTGTACATTTCAAAGGCTGATTCCGACTCAAGCGCCCCAAGCGCAACACTTTTTGGCCAGCCAGACCACTGGCAAGACAGAATCACCCCGTTGGCGCCGTTCTTACAATCTCCAGCGGGAACCACCCGATGTGCTGTCCTGACCGCGGCCCACCATACAGAATCCCCGCGGCCCGTTGCAGGAAATCGCATTGCCGCTTATCATTATTCCCGCCGCCTATCGCCACAACCATCACTCAGCGGAAGTATTGAATTTGACGGCTTCCGGCAGGAGGACTTCGACATAAGAAGCCCGTCATCCAGGCAGGAATGCGGCATGTCCAGGGAAGCCGCAGGCCGACGACTTTCCACATCACTTCGGAGCACAGGTGTGTGAGTTGCCGCCCGCAGAGGCTTGGATGTCATGAATGCCCCCCACCTAGTCATGTTGGGATGATAACTATTTTTGATTAATCCTTCTTGGCTTTTAAAGTACCCTTTTAAAAGGTAAGATGATTGCCCAACATGACTAAGGCCACAGGAGGAATGTGCACCTGTCCACGAGATCTGACCCCTTGCGAAGCCGCGCGTCCACTTCGCAGGAACACTGACAGGGGCGGAGCTGCAGACACCTCAAGATCATGGTTGGGGAAAATATTAAAATCTAAATTTTAGGTCCTTATTTCTAGTCCTTATTGAGTTTAGGTACCCCTTGAATGTAAAAAATGCTACCCTGCTTTGACAGAGACCTGCGGGTATGACATTCCTTGATGCAAGGGTGGGCACCCTGCACCGTGCAGAGCCCGGTGGGCAGGGGCAACGACATTGCCCACGCTGCGCAGAAGAAGGTATGATCACGCCGGCCGATACCTGGATGTAGACTGACCTTGATAGCCCAGGAACCTGTAGCATTTAGGGTTTAGGGTTTAGGGTTTCGGGCTAGGGGTTAAGGGGGTTTTAGGGTTAGGGTTTAGGGTTAATAAGGGCACCCTCCTTAAGGGAAACCGGAAACCAAAAAAGGGTGAAGGGTAACCACTGGGCTACCAAGTGACAGTCCAGGATCCAAGGCGGAATATCACACTGTGCTGCGGAGCCTTTTCCAAACGCAGCAGCCCCGGCCATCACTTTGCAGGAGAAACAGTGTGGGACCCTCCCCGCAGACACTTGGGTGTGAACACTCCTTCCCTCCAAAGGCGGAATGTTGCATTGTCACTGTCATTCTTTCCGCAAGCAACGACACGGCCATCATTTCGAAGAAGCACCGTGTGCGCCGGCCTGCTGAAAACCGGGTGTAAGCCATACCCTCCTCCAAGGTTGGAATGTGGCCTTGCCAAAAAGATCGATCCGCATGCCACGGCGCGACCGTCAGTTTGGAGAAGCCTGAATGAGCCTCGCCTGCAGAAAAACCATGGGCCCTGGGGACACATCAACAGAAAAACACCACTGAGCGAAGATAGCATCGGCAGTGATGTGGAGTGGCATCCCATTGATGGACAAAGCCATGAGTTTAGACCCTAAACCCTAAACCCCGAACCCTAAATAGTGGCAGTGGCCTCATCGTAGACGGGACAATCATCACGTCTAAGACTAAGACCATCTGCAGTGGTTCATCTTCAGCAACCGGCCATGAACGTCTCGGACCAGATAACTACAATGCTACATAAAACAGAATGAAAATCATAAATGCCACCTACCCCACCCTAAACCCTCAAGGGTTCGGGGTTCGGGTTCGGGGTTCGGGGTTCGGGTTTGTTTGGGGTTGTTTGGGGTTTGGGGTTTTGGGTTTGGGGGGGTGGGGGGGGGTTGGGGTTTGGGGTTTGGGGTACCCATGGTAGTCATTGAGGCCCGTTGAGTGAAAAGGCTGATGAGAGATGATCATCGGATGACGATGGGATGAGGCGCTGACGCAGAACTGCCATAGCGACACCATGACGACAAGCGCAAAACCAACTAATAGTACATATAGATGAGTATGATCTGAGAAGGCGGAGTGGGTTTAGGTTTTTTTCGCTTGTCGCAGTTTGCCGAAGGTTCAGCATGAGACAACATAAATGTCAGTGCGATATTTGATCCACATCGATATTCAACCTGCCTATAGGTGAAGTGTTAAGCTTCAGAAAATTTCATCAGCAACAAAAAACCGAGGATCAACATCAGAGCACCCCCTGGCCAAACATCTTGCTGGAGATAAGCCTCGAGAAAACCCTCAAGTTCTTCCCTGACCCTATCTCCGCAAACCCAACTCCTAAGCCCTTGTAGAGTACCGAACTGGCAACCCCGTGTCTTGCACTGACCCCTGCCAAGCCCTTAAAAACCCTAGCTAAACCCTCAACCCGATGCCCTAACAACACAATCCTAAACCTAAACCTAAGCCCTAACCTAAAACCCTAAACCCTAAACCCTAAACCCTAAACCCTAAAACCCTAAACTACTTTTACGCCAAGGCCGCAGCACAGAAGTTTCGGCGCGACCGGCAGCGGCCCTGAGGGGAAAGAGCCAGCTGCTCAGCGCCATGGGGTGTTGGTGCACAAAACTTGGAGGTTCAGGGCACTTATAACCCACTATAGGGTTAGGGTTAGGATTTAGGGTTTAGGGTTAGGGTTAGGGTTTAGGGTTAGGGTTAGGGTTAGGGTTTTAGGGTGTAGGTTATATATAAACCCCAACTATAACTACACTTATAAGCC